AATCAGAGTAATTAAAGTAATATGTTTCACAACAATACAATAATACTCAGGCCAAGAAGCTTCATTAACAGATCAGTGTAATTAAGGTAATGTGTTTCACAACAATACAGTAATACTCAGGTCAAGAAGCTTCATCAACAGATCAGTGTAATTAAGGTAACGTGTTTCACAACAATACAGCGATAGTCAGGTCAAGAAGTTTCAGTAACAAATCAGAGTAATTAAAGTAATATGTTTCACAACAATACAATAATACTCAGGCCAAGAAGCTTCATTAACAGATCAGTGGTAATTAAAGTAATATGTTTCACAACAATACAGCGATAGTCAGGTCAAGAAGTTTCAGTAACAAATCAGAGTAATTAAAGTAATATGTTTCACAACAATACAGCAATAGTCAGATACAATAGTTTCAACAGGAAGAAGTAATTAGATAACTACGGTTTACAGCAAGATATAAACAATCAAATCATTAAATTTAACATACTGAAGACAGTAATTACAAGTGCGTGATGTTACAATCAGACTATAGTATTTAGTTCACGATTTTTATTCCCACATGATAAAAATTACGTCCCTGAATATCACTTTTTTTAGACAATAAATCGGTGTGGTTTTAAACAGGAAATAGTATAAAGTCCAACGAATGTTTACAGTTATTAGAGTATATATATATATATATATGTGTGTTAGTACAAAACAATGTTGATTAGTGTACAAAGGCTTATTATAGCAGACTAGATGTCTCAAACGTACTTGTTCCGAAATAACTGTCCCCAGTGGCACAGCGGTATGTCTGCGGACTTACACCGCTTGAAACCCGGTTTCGATACCCGTGGTGAGCAGAGCACAAATAGCCTATTGTGTTGCCTTGTGCTTAACTTCAAACAACCGTAATAACTCTAGGACAGAAATATTTTACCCTTTACTTCGTTTAATTTCTTCTGAATGGTTTTCTTTTATCCCTATTTTTCTCAGTAGAAGCTAAATGATTGATTCATTCAATTTTTTTTTCCAGTTATTGACTAATTTTAAGTTTATCGTTGAGCTCCCACATTTGAATTTAATTACTGAGATCAACTGATGTGTAGTAGGCATCACTGGAATGACAGGAGACATTATTTCAGGCTCTTATCTTGGAACTAAAAATACATTTTATCTAACGATTATGCTACGTCATGTATTTTAATCGAATATATTTTTATTATCTGTTAGTAATTTTCATCGCTGCTAGTTTTATATATGTAATTTCGCAGCCTAGGGGGAGAAAAATCTGAATGTTTGTTTTACCGCAAAGCTACATAATAAGGTATCTTCGCTCTGTCCACTGCGGGAAATTGAACCCTGGATTTTAGAGTTGTAACTCCGTAAACGAACCGCTGACCTACCGGAAGGACTGATCCAGGGATTTTACACTTGAAATTGCAACTAGGAGATTTTTATGTCTCAAAGTTGATTACTTTGTAGGTACCACGGATTAATTATATTTCTATCAAGATTCTATTACACGTATTTTTTGTTTGAGCATATAATATCTTTGATATATTGATTTCCCTAATTGTAACTTTAATTGTTGAATGCTTTCTTTTTCTCTAACTGCACTAGATATATATAATGAATAATCACTGCACCTTTTCCATCATTGTCTTGTGTGTCGTCATGATTATAACAGCAGGAAGTGTCTCCAGCGGACTTCTCTTAAGACAGAAAAGAGGATTTCGTAACTTGGAGTTGTCTACAGCGAGAGGGTTTGGTAAACGAAAGCAGGAAAATAAGCAAGTTTCTTTACCGGATGTATTTTTCAACTTCATAAGGTGAGGCAGTAAGTTTTATTTCCCATGCGCGACGGATGCTCAAAGTAAAACAACATGAAGTATGTTTCAAAGGTTTGTTTGTTTGTTTTAAGTTAAGCACAAAGCTACACAATGGGCTATCTGTGCTCTGCCTACCACGGGTATCGAAACCCGGATTCTAGCGTTGTAAGTCCACAGGATGTTTCAAAGGATCTCTGATTCTTACAGAAATTCTTGTACCTTTCAAGAAACACTAGGACTTCTTAAAAAGCGTAGTGACGTGTCTAAATTGAAAAATTAAATAGTGACCGAAGATTCTAGCCTTCAGTAATATGTAAAATCAATAACTTCATTGAATAAATTGGATGGGAATCTATTTTCTCTGTTCGATCAGTTTTCTAATATTGTTATAATTATTTGTAAAGAAATTGAAGACAGACCATAAGAGGGATTTCAACCTACTTGTAGTAAGGTTCGCACTTTATTGCCCAAAGGATGCCGCCTTCTATTATTCTAGCCTTCAGTAATATGTAAAATCAATAACTTCATTGAATAAATTGGATGGGAATCTATTTTCTCTGTTCGATCAGTTTTCTAATATTATTATAATTATTTGTAAAGAAATTGAAGACAGACCATAAGAGGGATTTCAACCTACTTGTAGTAAGGTTCGCACTTTATTGCCCAAAGGATGCCGCCTCACGCTGATTGGCTTTCTCAGGGAAAGGGGGAGAGGGGAGTGTCGTCATTGAAGATACCGAGATCATGATTCCAATTTTGCCACCAGAGGGCGCCACGTTTTACTGTGTGTGTGTGTGTGTGTGATTTGTTGTGTAAAGTGAATACTAATTAGAGTTTATTGTTATAAAATTATTATAGTAATCACTGTTTTTTTGTTACAAATACTGAATTGTTATCAACACTTTAATCCTTTGGTCCTTGGACTAGCTAGCCAGTTATTGCAAAATAGACTTTATCATTCTAATCCTATGGACCAAGCCTGCCAGTAGCCTTGAATATCAAAACTTTAATCCTTTGGTCCTTGGACTAGCTAGCCAGTTATTGCAAAATATACTTTATCATTCTAATCCTATGGACCAAGCCTGCCAGTAGCCTTGAATATCAACACTTTAATCCTTTGGTCCTTGGACTAGCTAGCCAGTTATTGCAAAATATACTTTATCATTCTAATCCTATGGACCAAGCCTGCCAGTAGCCTTGAATATCAAAACTTTAATCCTTTGGTTCTTGGACCAGCTAGCCAGTTATTGCAAAATAGACTTTGTCATTCTAATCCTATGAATTTTCTACCAATCTTGTCAGTAGTCTTGAATATCAAACACTTCTGACTGTCACGCTTTACTTTTATTTCTTCAAACCGCTCTATTTCTACATTACAACACAATCAGCACTTACTTCACACCTTTACTAGGCTTGGTCAACTCAGTGCTAACCTTTGTCATTCTAAGCAGATGGTTTTTTCTAACTTGTGTATTTTCTTAACCAAGCCAGTCAGTGATATTCAATGAGTCAGACTTGGTAAACTGTGTATTGAGTTAAAGAAAGCTTTAATGTCTACTCTTTCTTCTTACAATAACTGTGTGTGAAGAAAAATTCAACAGTATCAAGATTTGATTCAAATACGGGTTCATTAGTCTTGTGAACGTATAACAGAAACGACATGTAGAAATGTGTATGTGTGTTTCGTGATTGTATGCGTTCATTGACGCAAATATCACAGATATTTTGTAGATTGCGTTTTGAACAAGTTACTTCACCAATGTGGTCCACAGAGATTTATGGTAAGTGTTATTATTCTACAATAGTAATTAATCATATGTAGTAAAATGTAAGTTGTAATCTCATTCAAACATGTTAAGTCAAATAATGTTTTTCACAACTTGTGAAGTGCTGTCACAGTATATTTGTTAAAATCATATGGACAGATGTAAAAATAATGGTAATTATGTATATACATATTTGAAAATCCACCTCTGTAAAACATGAGATAAAGTAACGTGTAAATTATTTTGTTGTATAAAGTCAAATTAGTAAAAGTGTTATTCCATAATAAACGTTTTATTGACTATGTAAAATATTGTATAAAGTCAAAGTATAAATTTTAATTATTTCATGATATCGCCATTTTTAGGGCGAATTAAACCTACACTACAGAGATGTATTGTGTGTGTGGTAAAAATGTATATAATTGTGATCATGTTACGTTAAATAATATATCATGTCATTGAAGAACACTTGATTGAAATTTAAAAGAGTAAGTTTTAATTAAGATATTGCCCTTTTAGGACATATATATGGTAAGAAATTTTAATTAACTAATGAATTGGTGTTAAGTGCCCTTTTTTATGAAGATTTAATTATAAATGTTTTAATTAATTAGTGTTAAGCATCCTTTTTAGGATGATTTAATTAATTAATGATTAATTATCGACATGATGAGACATGTATTATATGAGTCATGGCCGCCTGTCATAGCCGCATAGAAACACATTCTATAAATTGTGGTACTATTACGTAATCATCCATCATGGCCGCCTGTCATGGCGGCTTAGCAACCCGCCTTTTATGACACGCCTCTCTGGTAGCAAAACTTGGAACTATGTTCTCGTTATGTGGCGGCATTCTTTGGACGGTGAAGTGCCTCCCTTACTACTCTTATACCTCTGTTTGCTGGGGAGATGTTCTAACCAACAAATCACAAAGACCTGGCATGGCCAGGTGGTTAGGGAGCTCGACTCGCAATCTGAGGGTCGCGGGATCGAATCCTTGTCACACCAAACATGCTCGCCCGTTCAGCCGTGGGGGCGTTATGATGTGACGGTCAATCCCACTATTCATTGGTAAAAGAGTAGCCCAAGAGTTGGCGGTGGGTGGTGATGACTAGCTGCCTTCCCTCTAGTCTTACACTGCTAAATTAGGGACGGATAGCGCAGATAGCCCTCGTGTACCTTAGCGCGAAATTCAACACAAATCAAACCAATCAAGATAAAGTATAATATT